GGGCGGGGCGCGGGCTCCCAGTCTCCGGCCCGGCCCCGCCGCTGCCGCCGTGCCCTCGCCAGGCCTGCGCCCGCCGCTTTGTCTCCATTCTATGCCGTGCGGCCCCGGAGATCCCTGCGCTCGGGCCAGCCTGGCCCCCACGCCGGCGCCCGGCCCCCCGGCCCCAGTCCCCAGTCACCAGTCCCCAGCCCGCTCCGCGTTGGTGCAGGGTCGGGCCCCGCCGCGCCTCAGAGCCCGGCCGCCGGCGCGCGCTCCGGGACTCCGGGAGAGCCGGGTCGGAAGCCGAGCTTTAAGCTGAGGCAAGCGGCTGTTTGGCGGCCTCGCCTCCCCGGCCAGGAGTGGAGAAGCGCAGCCCCAAAAGTTTTGGCAGCACTTTCCCCCTTTATTTCCTCTAAAAGAAGAATGCACACGGGCGGACGTCCGGGTTAGGCGGTGGGGACCCACGTCGGCACCCCGGCTCTGCTGGGTGGGAGATGGTGGGCGAGTCGGGGGTATGCGGCTCCTCGCTGTACAGTGGGGAGAGTGATCGCTGCCTTGGTTACCCCATGGGGTTTTGGGGCAGCTCAGGACACGACCTAAGCTGTGACAGTTCTCGGGAAAAGTTGCCCAGTCTCCTAGGAAGTGTGCGGCGGTGGTGTTAGCACTGTCCGGCGGGCACCTCCACCCCGTGCCCGCCGAAGCTACTATGGACACCTTTGTGAATTTTTCCTCACCTACTGGGGAGGTATTTCTTGAGCACGTGCTATGAAGCCGTAAGCCTGCTAGACGCTGGGGATTCAATGGTGAGCAAATGGACTCAGCCGGCCTTCATGGAGCTTCCCTCAGCTTTTCAGTAAAGTGGGGACAGTTAGAGCTCTCGGGGCACTGCTCAGGTACCACTGTATTCTACTGCCCTGCCTTTTGTTGGTTTGTTTTTCCATAGTGCTGAATGCTATGGTATTCTATTATATATATTAATTTATTCATTTGTAATCTGTTCCCCCAGTCCCTCAATGACTCCCATCATTTAAGAGCCAGGGAGCAGGGACTTAGTTTTAACACTTGCTATATCTCCAGTACCTAGAGCCATGCCTGACGCATAGTAGGAGCACGAGAAGTGTTTGAGGAATGGCTAGGTGGATGTGTGCAAAATTGCTTCTGAGTTTCTGTCACAAAGTGGGTGTCCCATGATACCA